AGACGTTCTCCCTTTTGAGTGCGAAAAAGCTGATAGTGTCTTTCCAGCTGCTTGCTTATTTTCCAAATTCTAGGCTTCATTTTTGCAAGTAAAAGCCACTTGCATCATTCAATACCATAGCTCTACCCTCGGTCGTCATAGTAACTTAGTAAAGTAAGTGAAATGTGGAAAAGTGAGATGTAGGAGAAAAAAATGCATCGTATATGTCATTTGTTATTCCCTTTGGGCAAAATGGATTCTTGCGGTTGAAGAACAGACTGTTTGACCTCAGAGGTTCCACCATGTTCTTTGTTTTGAGGACCGACAGGTTAATTAAAGCTCCCCTCCCATGTCTTCGCAAACAAACTCCGTTTGGCTCCCGCTGCCTTTTTAAAAACATAGAATCAGTCCTGAGTGTTAATTGCAGATTCAACTGCAATGAATGAGTTTCACTGTATTTGTGCTGACCATGTGTGTTTCAAGCACAAATCTGCACCGTAATTGACTTGTGCAGTTTGGCTGCTTGGTGATCAGACGTTCTCCCTTTTGAGTGCGAAAAAGCTGATAGTGTCTTTCCAGCTGCTTGCTTATTTTCCAAATTCTAGGCTTCATTTTTGCAAGTAAAAGCCACTTGCATCATTCAATACCATAGCTCTACCCTCGGTCGTCATAGTAACTTAGTAAAGTAAGTGAAATGTGGAAAAGTGAGATGTAGGAGAAAAAAATGCATCGTATATGTCATTTGTTATTCCCTTTGGGCAAAATGGATTCTTGCGGTTGAAGAACAGACTGTTTGACCTCAGAGGTTCCACCATGTTCTTTGTTTTGAGGACCGACAGGTTAATTAAAGCTCCCCTCCCATGTCTTCCATTGTCAGTCCACCGCCTCCAGCATGCGTTTCCAGGACACCTTCTTCACCACGCAAGGGGAGAGGAAACGTCAACGAACTCCTAATTCTCGCTTCCAGAAGGACTACGTGGCGCTACCGGACCTCCGTGCCACTGCCAAAGGCGCATGGGAGCACCACAAAGGGAAAGAAAAGTGATGGGTGGGGGGAACTGACAGAGACAAATGACTGCACTGAGGTCACAAGCAAAGTCAAGGCGGGTCTGTGTGTTTGCGTGTGTGCTTGAGGTTATATTTGGACTGAAAACGATTTCCCGGATTTCCTTGTGGCCTGAAAGAGAAGAGGGGGGTTGACTAATCCGGACTTTCCAATGCATTTGTACATTCTTACATCAATGATTGTTTTGGAGCGTTGTGATTGGCCAGTTGGACTTTAAGGACATGGTGACTCGAGGATGTCGTCTCTTCCGTTGCCTCCTTGCCCTTCCTCATCCATCAGGAAGAAAAAAAAAAAAAGCAAACTGTGTCTTTGCAATTGTCAGAAGATTTTCCTTTTACATAACAACTGTAAAGTGGTTTTCCTCAGCAGCTTGCCCATGGTAGGTTTTTGGAGGTCTGTTATTTCAGAGTTTTGATTTTGATCATTTCTGCATCTTGCTTGTAGTTTTTTCCTTGTGCGTCACCCCCCTGCATGTTTAACACTGTCGCTTAGCTGCGCCATCATGGCTTCCTCTCTGCTCTTGTTAGTCTCTCCAATATGCTTTAATGATTCTGTTTGTATTTGATCATGACAAAAATACATGCAGATTGAGATTATGAATTAGAAAAAAAAAGTGATTGTTCTTGACAGACAGGAAGCCATGCCTGCGTGCGCCTGATTAAACGTGAAATGCTACTCTGTTGAATGAAACTCGCTGTTGAAATTATTTAAATTTGTATTTATTTTTGTGCTTGCTATAGTTGAACTATTGCTAACTGCTGTAAGGAAAACAAAATAAAACTTTTTTAATTGCCAATGAATACATCGTGCACATCAGGCTACCACACGAATTAACTTTTCAGTGAGATTGCGATCCATTACTGGTGTTGCTGTTATAATTGACACAGGAGACAGAATGAAGTCACTGAAAAACCGGCTACCTTATTTGAATGGTGACGTCCCTCAAGATAATCTTACCACAATCTTTAACAGGATCCAACAGTTCTCGACTGTTGCCTTTTACACAGAACCCCGTGAAGCAGAATATTGCCTTTCACGTTTGCATAAAAATAAAGAGGACAGTTCGCGGGTCACTTGAGCATCATACCTGGCACAGAGGACACATTCTGTTGATTAATCCAACCAGCTCAGCATTAACAGTATCAGAACTGGTGCAATATTTACATTGGTTGCATTCATATTTTTCAAGGGGGTGTTAAATGAAATGTTTTTCTTTACAATAGGCAAACTAGTTGTAACACAGCATCTGATTAATAGTGCATTTGTGCAATATGAATTCAGCAGCAAAATCGACCTGTCTTTATCCATTGCAGGGGGCGGCCATTTTGATGCTTGACGTTGACTGAAAATGACATCACGTTTGCTCAGGTCACAGCTGTTACGGCACATAGAGACAAGCATTCACATCCACACCGTCACTAGGTGGGAACCGATCCCACGCTGCCTGCGCATAACTTAGCTGAGTGTACCACTACACCATCAGCGAGTCTCAGAGAACCAATCTGGAAAAAGTTGAAACATACAGTGGATCCTATTGACGAACGCTTTACTTTTGGAAACATAGCAGCTAGGGGTTTATCAAAAACTGTCATTCCGTGCCAGTGGCATTGAGTGACTAACAGAACAATTTAAGTTGCCAAAGGTACGATGAACCTGTGTATCCAGGTGTTGCTATTTTTACAACAGAATAACATTTGTGAGTAGGTTGACAATCATCATTTGAATATATCATATTTTTGTGACATTTTAGTTTGGTGGTGTGCTGCGTTGTGGCGTTTCTCGTGTAAAATGTGTGTCTTGGCTCAATAAAGGTTGGGAAAAGCTCGAGATGAAGGATGAATAGACTCGAGGTAGCAGAGCGCAGTCGAAGAACTTAAGTTAAAGCATAGCTGAAGGGGATCACAATGGAAGCAGAGATGTCAAGAATCTCATTCAATTACCAGCTTTAGGACGTGAGGCGGTAATGCTCCTATCTTCAGGGTAGTTTCACTGCATTCGCCAGGAATTTCAATCAACTGAAAAGTCGTCTTCAAGGGTGGATGAGCAAACCCCTGAGGACTTCAATGCCATGTGATCAAAGGTTCCCAACAAGGCATTTTTGAAACAACTAAATTAATCCGTGGTTCTTGGAATCGCTTGAAAACCTCCCAATAAAGAATCCCTTTTAGACACCTGGGTTCTTCTGAATGTCCTTATGCTGAATGAGACTAAACAGTAGGTCATCAAAGATGCTGCAACTTTCGCCTGACTTCAGTGCAGGTCGAGTTGGTTCACTTCCCACTCAGTGTGAATTCCAGTATTATAAAAAGGACTCATACTAGTTATATATACAAAAAAAAAAAACAAAAACAAAAACCCAAAACTGTTGTAAGTATAAGGGTGGTGTCTAGCGATAACTCGTATCTTTCCCCATTGAATGGAAATGCATTCTAACCTCACAAAAAAAAAAAAAGTGCCATGTTTTATTTGAGCACGCCATAATACACTTTATAGAAACATACAGTAATGACTGAATCAAATATAATTGAAAAGAATTCAACAATTTTTGTCAAACCTCATCATGGGATTGGGCATTGTGCTCTTGCCCACCTTGCCCAACTGGGGGCAGTATAAAACGGGCAGACAGATTAGACTGTACATGGACACCTGTGCAGTCTCAGTTTTTCTCAGCTTTGTGCAGAGGATAAAGAACATATAACTGCGTGTACTGTTACACTGGCTGTCCAAGGGTGTAATTGCTCCATAATGTGCTCAAATATCAGTTCCTTTAAGGATTAGGGCTACAATATATACGTTTCCCATTGTGTGTTAGCATTAGCATTAAGCTAGCAGACTAAAGGCATTGCGCTAGCAATCCAAACGCTCTGCGGTTGTTGAAGTTTTCACTATTTGCCAAAGCGTTGCTCAGGTACAGTACAAAAACAATTATACTAAGTCTTTGGATTTAAGTAAAATGTTCTTTACTCAGTATTTGTACTTTGTTACCCTTTCATCGACTGGTGTCTAGAGTGCCTTTTGCCTGGAGTCACGCCTTTTACGGTTTCTCTTCCCGGTTTCTCATGTGAGGGCAGGTGAGGTTGTCAGCATGAGATCAAGTGGTAAACTGCTATCTTCGCCTTTGGGTTCTTGTCACATCAATACCCCATTGGCCTTCATTTCCGCTGACGCTGCAATAATTTGCATGTCATCCTGATGTTTCATTTTACTCCGTGAATCCTTCTGATACATGATCTTATTCCCTTGAGGGGAATATGACTTTCTCCCACTCGAAGGAAACAATCAAGCGTTTTACAGAAGATAGCATCAGAGTAATTGTTGGCCTACTTGGGTTTGACATTCCTAATCTCTGAGCAGTTCTCTCCTTGGGAAAAAAAAAAGCCAAATCCTATGAAAGGTGCAAGTGAAGATCCTCATGCAGATGTTTTCAATTCACCAACTTTCACATCAACCAGATGTCCAATGGAGCACATGTGGTTTTAGGATTGGATGTGGTTTAATCCTGAATGCATGAATGTATTTGTGTTCAGTCATCATTTTTCTGCAGGTTGTTCTACGTTCATGGCCTCTTCTTGGAACTCTTATCATATCCTTGCCTTGTTTGACCCCAGACTTTATAGCAAAATTAACACAAGTTGGGTTATTAGGACAAGGGGGCAAATGCATGACCCCTGTAAATGTGCAAAAATGGACCAAAATTGTACATTCACATACTCATAGCTCGCTTCCTGCACATTTTAGGGTATGGCTTACGAGAATTAATATAGATGCAATAACGTCAGGGTGACGTTCAAAGGAAAAACATAATTTCAAAAATTGTCGATAAATAATACATAATGTGTAATTTCCTTCTAAAATGTAACACATATTATTCAAGGCCTTGTTAAGCACACATACATACAAAATGTGGCCAACAAAATATACACTCATGGTACAGAGCCAGAACACAGGTTCGGTGTCTTTTATTTTACTTGAGTTTATTTGTAACAAATAAAACTTGTGTCAACAAAGAACAGAAATTCATACAGACCCATGTGTGGTATTTTTCCCCCCCATCCTCAGGTTTGCACACACTCCAAGAACCAATGTAAGAAAATAAAAAACACTTGTTGACCCGGAGCAGAAAATGAAAAACAGACAAACTAAAACTTTACATTTACAGACCAGTTTGACGGGACTGATCCAAGCAACACACCATTATTTTTTCGTTTTTATACAATTTATAAACTCCAGTTTTATCCAACTACATGATACATCGGGGCGGGGTTAAAATAGAACACTTTTAAAGGTGAAACTCATTTGTGGTGCAACAAAGCCACAAGGTGATGTATTGCACATATTTCTGTGCCATAAATGGTGATTTCTGGTGCAATCCTTTGTTATATCACTCAGTATAACTGATATAGTTCGCTATTAATCTTCAACTTAATCGTTTAAGAATTTCACTTAGTCTCTGTGTTCGGTGTTATTTACATATACACAACTACGTGAGCATTTCAGGGTCCATGTTGAGCTAGTTCAAGTAACACTCTTTTTTTTTTTTTTCTTTTTGTTTTGTTGGAGGGAGAAGGTTGGGGTGTGGGCGAACAGAGATAAGAGAATTTTGTGCATAGTACAAGAGAGAAAGTGCAAGTCTTCCCATTACTGGTGCGACCAACGGGGGGGGGTACCATGCATACAAAAACAACACCAGTGACACCAGAGCAGTGTCATGAAGAGAACAACATGGAGAAGAGGAGGGCAGGACAAGGAACACGATTGGCTGTGGGATTGACTTCGGTATGCACAAATGTCATCATTTTGCTTTTTTTTTTTTTCACCCTCTTTAATTTGACAATAAAAATGCCCCTGCTGCTTTGATTGCCTCATATAGTGGCCAGATGGTATTTATTCACTCCCCTGCAGGCGCACGGGGATTTTCAAATACTATTGTATATCATTTCACATTTTTTTCCCATGGATAATGAGAGTTAATTATGTCCTTACTCTAAAGGGATGCCTTGAGATACAAGTGACCTGACTAATGAGGTTGTTGACATTTAATTTTTTTTTGCTTTTTTGCTTTAACTTGCGAGCGCAACTTGAGACGAGTGCTGCGTGGTGGCAGTGTCGTCAACTTTGCTCACAGCACCATAAGCAGCAGTTTGGCAAATCATCCAAAAAGAGGCTTCATGCTGGTTTATGCCCCTCCCACTCAAAGTTGAGTGTCAAACTAAACATTAAACAAAGGAAGTGACACTTCTTACACCCAAATAACTTTGTCGTAGGAATGCTCCCGCCAGCTTAATGCTAACGCGTAGCGGAAAACGCATGCTAATGGTTAGCCATGAGCGTTGCGGTTTTTGAACCCCTCAAGCAATGGTGGCGTAACACAGGTAGACAGATAATATAACACACTCAGAACACATTCTTTATCCTCTACAAAAAATGATCTTACTGAGTCATTTACAGTAGTGATAGAATGATTATTCTTAATTTGTGACTGCATGAATGTATTATGCCCCGCCTGGTGGCCAAGAGGGGGACAACAGAAGGAGCAGCACAATAAACGGAATTGCAGTATTAAATCATGATGCACAAACCATTTATTTCTCAACATTCAATTTAATTATGTTGATACTCTGTTTTTATGAAGTACAGTAGTGTAGTTCTTTATTAAAAACAAACATTTGTGTGTGGGTTTTTTTTTTGGGTAGCAGGGGCTGCTGGAATAGATTAATGGCATTTCCATTCATTGAAATGGCTCAATTTCGTTAGTTGTGAGGTCACGGAACAAAATTAAAATCTCAAGGCACCACTCCATTTCGGTGTTATTGGTCTTTACCACGGATGGAATAAATCCAGGAAAACCAGAAAGAAAAATCAGGTGAATGCGAAAGAGTCTATCTGAGATGTAACGCAGCCTGCAGTTAATGAGAGCGGAGGCCACTATTTGAGGAAATACGGTCAAAGAAAGTCTGCCTTTGCATCACCGCAGACATTTTCTTGAATTGAAATCCTCATCTCATTCCTAGCTCATACTTTTGAAATAAACATTTGCTGTACTGCAGTTGTGCTCATTTGTTCTCCTTCCGAGCGATATGACTGCATTCCTTTGAAAGGGATCTCTGTCATGAGCTAGCCTACTGTAGAAAAACAACAATACGCCAGCAATTTTCAGATAGTGGAACATAAAATTATACATATTCTCTCTTTCTCACACACACACACACACACACACACACACACACACACACACACACACACACACACACACACACACACACACGACACACAAACATATATACGTGTGAATACATAAAATACACAAGAACCCTTAAACGTAACTTTATCAAAATAGGCGTGTAATATAAGGCACTAGAAATCTAAACTTAAACTATTCATTGGGAGTTGCAATCATTCGTTAGTTTCCCGGTTACTGTGACGACAACCTTGTCTACTTGGGGGTGGCTGTGTGATACGAGGAATCAAATGCTTAACGTCCTCATATCTGGGACATGATGCACCATCGTTAGTAGGATATCTTCATCATCATGAACATCATCATCATCACCATCACAGCATGTGACTGCAGTAAATAAGTGGACATAAAAATATATATAATACATCTACTTATTGCACACTGAATCAGACAGTCACACGAGTCAGTGGTGAGCATTCCGGTGAGAACGTCGTCTCGACACATTTCCACAATTAGTGTTCTAAAATCTAGATGAACTTTTACATAATTTTTCATACCCTCCCCCCTCCCATCCCAAAACAAAAACCACAAACTGTGCACACTATTTGTGATTCCACTCTTTTGCGCTCAATCTCGTGATTTATACGCAGAATGGAGACTTTTCATTGGGGGAGCACACTTGGTCGTGATGCTTTGGTCCCTCAATCAAACCTGAACCAAACCACCCATTTTCTATTGCATTCGGGTTGCGGATGATCTGGAACCTATCCCGGTTGACTTTGGGTGAGATGTGAGTTACACCCTGGGCATAATTTCTAATAACCTTCAACCCTAAATATAAGATGAACTCCTACGGAACCCCAAAATGAAACCATAGGCCTTGCCCGTGCACGAGGGGTCACCGACCTTTTGAAGAGTGAGTGTTCCTTCCTGTGTACTGGTTGTGCAAATGGGTGCCCAATTAATACATGTCTGAATAACATTTTCTCAAATGCCCTTTAATAATATTAGCGCGTGTCATTATTAATACTTAATGATGTCTCACAAATCTGTCAGAGTTTGTAAATCATGATTTCAACACAATTCCGACAAAATCCTAATGTCTGAGCACTAGTGAGCTATTTTTAGAAGTGCCCATGTAGGTGACCCCTGCACTACATCTTATTCCTGACAATACTGTGAATAAGAAAGAACATCATCGAGAGCCCCAATCCTGAACCTAAATGGATGGTTTAATCCTGAAATGTAACCCTGACCCGTACCCTAAAGTTAAAACCATCAAGCAACAGGCAGGCAGAGACTTCATTGATTTGCTCATGCAAATAAAAGTGATTATAGAACAGTTAATGGTGGACTATTTTGAAACTACAAAGCTCCATGACTTCTGATTGTATTTCTTTGAATAAACATATTTCATAACGTAAAAAAAATGCACAAGAAACAGAAAGTTTAAAAAAAAACCAATGAGTGACTTTAGCTGAGCCCCCCTTTTTTTTTTTTTTTTTTTCAAATGAGTCACAAGCTATTTTATTTCTGGTGGCGGTTGGTGCTTTTTAAACTTCTCACAATTTCCATGTCTCAAACTGTGAAGTATTATGTATGAACTGGTGCTTTTTTTTTTTTTTTAATTACTGTGAGATTGAAATGTCTTTGACATTTATAGGAAACAAGAGTCTGTTTCTCTAAAAACAACAAAAATGTGGGGGTAAACACTTCCTGGTGTCTATTGCGGGTCCGTGTATCCTTAATACTATGCGCTCGGTGAGTTTCCACTCTCCTGACAGCAATTCTCTGGTGCTCCAAAGTTTCACTTTGCGTCCGTCCACGAGACGTCCATATGATGGATGCCTTCGAGTTCATCTAAAGATAGAAAAATCAAACGTCCTGTGACACTCTATCAATCAAGGTTGGTGATGCTACACTGGTGGTGGATGAGGTGAACAGTTCCACACCCGAACAATGTAAAGCAACCTGGGTGCTCGGAAAATAGCACTGACTGAAAACGAAACGGACAACGTAGATTCTGATCAAGCATTGGAGCAAGTTGCTTCTTCAGACAGACCAATGGGCGTGTTTGGGTCAAAGGGCGGGTGGAGACCCCTTGTCAAGCAGGTTGCTATGGCTCAGTTAGAGGTGCTCTTTGTGGGTACGCAGGACTCCCCCTTCCCTCCATTTCACTCTGCATGTTGGTGGCGCTCTCATCACGGACACGTCGCCGCCTAACGCGTTCATCCACAGGCAAGTGGATTAGGTGGGACGTGCCGTGACACATTTATGTTGCATAGTGATCAAAGCTTCCAAGATACTCCAGACTGGCGCGGTAGCAGAATTGGTACTGGTCCTGGAGGAGGAACAACGCACTGGTGAGAATTACGAAAAAGGCAGCGAGAGAGAGAGAGAGAGAGAGAGAGAGAGAGAGAGAGAGAGAGAGAGAGAGAGAGAGAAAGAGAGAGAGAGAGAAAAAGCGACGTGGATGAGGGGCTGACCTCTGTTTGAACGGTGGCAGGTCGCTGCGTGCGCAGCATCTTGACCGTCTGGAAGATGTCCACCACGCCCTCGTACCGCATCCTCTCCAGTACGATGCTCAGCGTGATGAACACGCCCGTCCGGCCCACTCCAGCACTGGTGGGAGACACGTTTGCAGTTCAGTAATGTGCCAGTGTGAGGTGGGGAAAAGGCAAGAACATTTTCAGGACTTCTGGAAGATTTCCATGTGGAAAGCAAGGCAAGGGAGTTCTATAGAAATAGAACATTTCATACACAAGACAACTCAATGTGCTTCACACAAACAAAAGCATTTACAAACAGCGAACAAAGGTTTGAGAAAAAAGCTGAGTTTTTAACCTGCACTTAAAAGCATTTACATTGGAGGCTGACTACACTTCTCTTGGCATCTTTTTGCACTTGCGTGCAACATAACAGCTAAATTCTTCGTCACTCTGTTGGTTTGAAACCCGGGCTCCACTTTATTGATCCAAGTCTGCAGACCTCAGAGCCCGACTGGATTTATATTCAATTAACATTTCTTGAATGTGTTCGGGGCCCAAATCATTCAATGTTTTACATAGACCGGGTGCAGAATTTTAAAATACAAATACTGTCATCAATTTCTTTGTTCTCCTCAGTACATGAGCTGCGGCTGTTTGATGTTTTTATCAGTACCATACAGTAAATTAACTGGAATTATTTGAAAATTGGGGATAGTTGATAGAAACTGCAACGTGTAGCTGAGACAGTTTGTGTCTATTTTTTTAAATGCTAATGAGATTTAACCAGATTTTTTTTGGTGGTGCATTTTGGTTATTTTACAGAAACTGTAGCATGTACGATCATATTAGTATATGCTTGCTTGAGTAGGAGTTCATAACATCGTGGAAAATCCTGGAAAAAAAAAGTCCACCATAAATTCAGGAAATGTGATATTTTTCCTCCTTTTGAGGTTTAATTGAAATTTCAAAGTTATATATTTTTTAAAGTTAATAATTGTTCACCAGAATTTGGAATTTTTAGACAATTTACATGAAATGTATGAAGGCAATGTTCTAAGCTAAAAAAAAAAAACGACATTTCTCACGCATGTGTATGTGAATATTGTCGTGGACAACCTACTAAATAGAAGAAATGTAATTCAGATGCATTTGCAATATTGTCTCAAATGTATCAACATGATACTGCTACAGTAAAATTGATAAATTATGCATTTGCACATTTTCCACGTATTCACAATAACCCCCCAAATGGATTGGAAATAGAATTTCCTGGGAATATGCTTGCATGAATACCAATGAGACTTTTTTTTTTGTTTTGCTTTGTTTTTTTTACCTGCAGTGCACAGTAATTGGTCCATCCTGGCCAAACTGTTCTTTAGTTTTATGCACTTGTCCAATGAAATCAATGAATCCTTCCCCTGACTTTGGCACTCCTTGTTCTGGCCAATCGGTGAACTGGAATTGACGAACCGTCCTTGATTGGCCATCCTGGAAGAAAGAAAGCGCATTGCTTATTCCTCTCGGACCTTGAAACGCTTGATTGTTCACGGCTTACTCTGGCGTCTGTAACTTTGAATTCCCGGAGGATGTATTGAGGCATGTTGTACTCGGCCATGGGATCCACCACAAAGTATTGGTACCGAGCTGAGCGCTCTGCGGGCCAATACTGGTGACATTTCTCCTGCATGAACACAACACACAAAAACGCTAAATCACTCGTGCTAGACTTCGCATCACTCTGGAGGGATCTACTTTTTTCCTTGTCGTGGTACTTTTTGTCAATATTCCTACAGTACAGGATGTTACTTTACGTTCACACTGCTACTGTTTGCTGGCCAGTTCCAGTTCCAGCGGGTATTAAACTTGATTATAAGAGCCAATAGTGGGTTGGACCCACTTTTGTCAGCATCGCAAACAAAATGTATGCTAAGAGTCGTGTCCTCTCAACACACATCGTTTCCTCTCATTATTGAGTCAAAGGAAAAATGTGGAGACAATGAAATCAAAGCAACTCACTTGAAACGGGCAATTAAAGATGATCTGAGGCATATTCCTTTGTGAGTTCATCTTAACCCAATTAAACAACCAAAAACAACAGCTGATGTCTTGCATGTCCAATTTAAAAAAAAAAAGAAGAAAAAAAAATAAAAATAGAGGCTAAACTATTATAGGAATATTAGATTGTGTATTATTCTAAACCTTACAGATTTCAAAATCAATGACAATTTGTGGACTAACATTAGAGTTTGAGGGAAATTGGCGGAAAGGAAAACAAGGAAACAACCTGCTATTAGGTCACTTTAAGATACACAATCGTGGTGGGCAAACCTTTGCGCTCAAAGGCCACATTTGAATTTGAAACCGTGAGCCAGTTCTTTCATAGATGAGGTAAAAAAAAAAAAAAAGGCCATATGCCCACACCACAAAAAAAACAAAACGGTCATGTTTATTGAGCCATTAACTTGGACAAAGTGGACCCTTTTAAAAAAAAACAAAAATCGTCGCAATGACCTTACCCGTCCCATCTCCCTCAATTTGGTGAGCATCACAACAATGGTGGAGTTGTGTTCCCACAGCATCCTCCAGTAGTCCTCCGTGGTCTCCGCCAACGGGCCTTGTGTCGCTATGTAGGCCTTCTGTTGCCTAGAAGCACACAAACGAGGACCACCGTTCAGGCACCCATGAACAAGCGCGTGCCTTAAACGTGCGACTGACCTGTAGCCATCGATGAAGCTGGCGTTGATGTAATCCGACCCCTCCACTCCTCTGATTGGCTGCAAGGGGACTCGCGTGGTCTCGTAGGGCATGATGTTGACGAGCCTGTTCTTAAACTTGTTGCATGGCAGGTTGGCACTGACGAAGCGTGACGTGTGGGCCTTGGCACTGGCCAGACGCTGGGACACAAACGACGGCGGCATATTCATGGATTAAAAAAAAAAAAAAGATCCACAGAAACACAACAATGAAAAAAAAACATTTTAAACATTCTACCACTACTTGTACATGAAAACATCAATCAGTTGTACTGCTACAGTATATTGACTGATGCCCGTTTGGTCCAATGATGCAGCACCAGTGACTGAAAAAGCAATCCACAATACAGACAACACATAGAGGAAGGTGGGATGACACAGAAACCAGTCACACTTACATAAATGCTGGCTTGACAGAGAAATCTATCCAATCTAAGTATTTTATAGGTTGCAAAAACTGGAATCGCATCATATGGTCACCACGAAGTTCAAACGCAATGTAGCTCGGGGTACTGAGGTTGTTACAAGGAAAATCTTATTAGTAAAGCCTGACATTACGGCGTACCAACAAAAAAAAGTCATCATTACTCCCAGGGCAGACAAAGCTGGATAAGAATGGCGGTAAAAGAATGGAAGACAGAAAAGCAGCCCAGACGGAGCCTCGCTGAAATGTCTTTTCATGCAACTTTTCTGGCGCAGTGCACGAGTGAAATGAGAGAAAAAAAAATCCTATTTACCGGCCGGCCTCGGGGTATACAGTCAGACAAGTGAATAAACAAGAGAATATTATGGGATGGGGGCATGGAAAGGCAATGGGAGGAGGCGCGTAAGAAAGACAAATGAGAGAAACAGCAAGAGAATCCAAATTTGCGGGCAGAAAACCACGAGGCCCCATGTTGTCTCACTGTACATGCGTGACCCTTAACTGATCCCGTAGCCCCAGAAAACACACACACACACATACACACACACACACACACACACACACACACACACACACACACACGCACACACAATTGTACTTTCTCACACTTGACCAATGCATGACGTCTGAAAACGAGAGAGAACAACAGAGAGCGGGCGGAGGGAAACCACAGACTCCAGGGGGAATGAAACAATACCCCTCGCTTGGTAACAATAGGGTCTCACAAAGTAAGCTTCCAATATTGGTGGCTACGGGAATGCTGTGGGAGAAACAGACGTACTTTATTTTCTTTAAGACGGAACAAAGCGGGAAAATCCCCCCACCGCTGAAAAAACCCCCCACAAATTTAGATGCCGTTTATTTTGGTTCTCGTTAGTCTGGTTTTGATCATCGACAATCAAGATGGTCTTATCAAGACAATCTGGGACAAACAGACCATTGTATCTCTTGAAAACATGTCATTATTTTCAGCTTGTCCGGATAAAATCATGCCCGGTTGGCAAACAGAAGGAAAAATAATCTTCATGTGAAGTGAGGCTGCAAAAGACGTCAGTGGAACCACGCTAAAGTTGAACCGTCGAGGGCTTTGGATAGAACTTGCGGAAAAAAAGACGCCCCTGAAGTCACACCAAACTGCCGTCATTTCTCAAGAATATCCACTCAACCAAAATCGAGGGGGTGCATTATACAAGAGTACACGCACAATTACAAAAATTACTCATTATATCAGTTCCTCGGGTTGTGAAAATAGGTGTTTTAACTCAATATGATACGGAATGTGTGTCGCTGGTGGTGTAGTGGTACACGCGCCGGACTTGCGTGCGCGGGGAGCCTGGGATCGGTTCCCACTCACCGACGGTGTGCATGTGGGTGTGAATGTGGGTGTGAATGGTCGTTTCTCTCTATATGTGCCCGGCGACTGACTGGAGACCAGTTCAGGGTGTAGTCTGCCTTCCGCCCGGAGTCAGCTGGGATAGGCTCCAGCAACTCCGTGCGACCCTATTTCGGATAAGCGGTATGGAAAAAGAAAGGATGGCTACGGAATGTATAATGTTCCAAATTTAAATTTAACAACATCATTTTCGCTGCTCACCAAGAATCATGACAGCCTCGTGAGCGGATTTGTGGGTCAGGTCGAGGGGCATAAAAACAAACGCGTGTCTTGTTTTGTATGAAAGTCGATGACAGAGACGGCGAGAAGTAAGGCTACCCCCCACCCCCCAAAAAATATATAATATTAATAATAATTCGTTCCAAGATTGGAAGTTACGGAAAATAATCAGACTTGCATTCAAAAGCAGTAAGACAACAGTCTCGCCATTTATCATTCGCAGTCTTTTTCAGTTCTAATACATCATTCTAATCCCTCTAAGCCCTAATCATTTTTTTAAAATTTTTTTTTTATTTTTTTTTTATGATTACAAATCGTTGAATTACTTCATTCAAGTTCCCTGACATCAGCAGTGAACTTTGTGGAACAGACTGTATTCTTTGAGATTCATGCGCTCCGTGTCAGATTTACAACTTCAGTGATGGAAAGTGGATTTCCATGTGTTGGTCCGTGGTGCCCAGTAACACTGAGATGGAATCTGATGAATGAAGAAACCCTGCCACATGTCTTCCATCAATACAAGACTGGAAAGACAGCTTGGAGGGCGCAGAGTTCATTGTTATTCTTCGGAGACTGCTACTGCCAGGACAGGAATTCTGGGGCATCAGCAGATGCGATCATTGAAACAGGCTTTATTTGAGTGCATGAAGATGTGACCTTTGACTAAGAACTTAACTTCTGGGACAACATTACCGCTTTTTTCATTGGCTATCCACACTTGCCTCCGAAAAAAAGTCAGTAAAACGCCCCCCCCCCCCCCCCCCCCCCCCCCCCCTTGAATCCAAAGGTGAAATCCCATAATCCTTTTCAATTTCGACCATCCGCCTGGACTACATGAAGACACTAAAAACGGCTTTGCTGGAACTAAAACAGCCTCTAACTGCCTCAGGAAAGATGTTGTCAGAGGCTGTCAAGGTCAGAAAATCCACCGTTTGTCCTTGCGATGTGGTCTCTGCACGCAGATTTTCCAATGATAAAGCCACAATATGAAGAGTGGCTAGTTTGGTGATTAACCATTCCAAGGACAAAAGGGCTTTTTCCTCTCATTAAAGTCATTTGACGTTCTTCATCATTTATTGGACGTTGCCATTTCTCAACTTGGAGATAATGCTCTTGGATCATTAAACTCCTGTCTGAGTGTGTCCTTTTTTAAAATTGTTGAAGAGCTTCTTGAATTACAAAACGATTAAAATACGCTCAACTTCAAATCATACGATTGCGCCACTGCGCTAACGGGGAGGCAGCAGAGTTGGATGAACGGTGCATGACTTCAAGATGGCGCCGCGAGAGTGCCTGCCTTTACAGCAGCTCCGATACTTTTTGTTCTTCTACTTTCTTCCTTTCATAACTTTGCTGCAGTAAATTGGGAATTTGTCCATTGTGAGACGAATAAAGGTTTTCTTCTTACTATTCTTGTGAATTTTACATTGTTGTCGGTGGCTCACCTTGAACTCCAGCTCCATGCCGGTGACGTTGTCGCCAGGTTCGATCTGTGTCAGCCTCTGGATGTATGAATACAGGTTCCTGGCGGGGACCTCCGTGTTGCCGCAGGTCACGGCCTCCAGCAGCGCGTCGTAGATGAAGATATACTGGTCCTCCGTCTGGACCATATAGTTCCTCTGGGAGCGCATTAGCGTGACGTGGCCGTAGATGTCCACGGCCTTCTCGTGCTTGATCCGTTCTGCCATGGCGTCGATCACGATGAAGCAACCTGTGCGGCCCACTCCGGCGCTGAATGGATAGATGGGGAAGTTCATTTTATGTATCTTTAAACTTTCGAAAATCCTGTACTTCTGCCTTTGAGTCCAGAAGTTCAGAGTTGGGATGTTGGCTGAGTCCATCCGGTTTGTTTTTTTGTGAGTTATGTTTGAGTGACTTTCCTCGCCAGTTTACTCGCATTTGAGCGGGGGGGGCTCAAGTTTATATGACTTGATTTCTGACTTGCTAGGCCCAAGCAATGCTTGAAATATTGTGGGCACTTGACTAGACTTGCTTGATTTTTGCCGCAGTAACTTGAAGCCTGCTTGAAACTTGAAGGTTAAGACTTGAAACTTTCATGTCAGGTTAAGTGAAAATTCTAAAGTGCCAATTGATGTGGATGTGAATGTGATTGATTGTCTAGATCAGTGGTTCTTAACCTGGGTTCCATCGAACCCCAGGGGTTCGGTGAGTCGGTCTCAGAGGTTTGACGGAGCCTCTGCCATGGAGGTGAAGACACACCTGACTCAACATTACAATTAGTTATGGCACACCCGCTTGGCCATCACTGGCTGCAGATGATCACTTTACATTGCTTGTCCAATCAGTGCTGCGGGAAATTTAGTTCGCTCAGTAGTCACCATGTGACTGTCGTGATCATACGTCATACAAAAAAAAAAAAAAATTATATATATACACACACACACACACACACACACACACACACTTCGGCTATGTAATTTTATTTCATTTTTTTCTGTTTTTAATGTGCTTTTTGAATGAATATGTAAAAAAAAAATCACATTTTTATTCTTCACTCATGAAGGGTTCGGTGAACGTGCATATGAACTGGTTGGATTCGGTACCTCTCACAAGGTTAAGAACCACTTGTCTAGATGAATGTGATTGATTGTCTAGATGCGATTGGCTGGCAACCGGTTTTGGGTGTGCCACAGCTTTTAGCCCAATGTCAGCTAGGACAGGCTCCGGCTCAAGGAAGACCCTAATGAGGATAAGTGCTGTCGAAAATGGACGAAATGAATAATTCCCTTCGGACACGCTTTGAAGTGTTTAAGACAGATGCCCCCCTGATTCATTCCCTCCAGTTTTGTCACTTTTTTTTTGCTGTCAGACTTTGCACAGTTGCTGAACATCCAATCCAAGGAGTGAGCTTTAAAATACATGCATCTCTTCTTTTACGCGCAGTACCGGGAACATAAATGAACCTGTCAAGTGTCATAACTTGTAGTTGTTCCGAAGTCGTTGCCTGCCCCTGACAAAATCTTTACACCGGGGTGTGTTAAGTCTGTAGAAGGAGAGCGATTCTAAACCTGCTCATAGTTAAAGAGGCCAGGCATAACTTTTGTTGTGAAATAGCACGGCTGTGTATAATCGTATACTGCATAGCAGAAATTCTTGGATGAATTGTCAAAACATGCAAAGTAGCAACATTGGTGTTGACAAAATTGACATCGGCGACGAGTCAGCACTAGCATAATATAATACGTACTCTTCTATCGACACAAAGTCCAAATATGAACTACTCTAAATTCCTACTCATTTCTGCTGTGCTGGTTCCAAATTGGTAAAACATCCTTAGCAAGCAGGTTCATATAAGTGACTGAAAACCCCTTTCAATGGCAGAATGAATATTGGGGCTGTGAGATTGACTGCGGTGGAATGAGATTTCGGCCCCATTGTTTGATTCCCAGGCTGCTTGATACATTAAGGCGCATTATGACAGAGGCTTGGCGCGATAATTAAATTTGCCTGTTAATCCTGTTAGATACTCCATCTGACTGTGAGCGAAGATTCGGAGGAGCCTCTCATCCGACAACCTTTTCACCCCTCCTCTCGCCCCGACCGCCCTCCACCTTCATTTTCCCTCTAAGTACCTTTCACACACTCCGCCATCAGCCTGCGTTTTCCCTCCACCTTTCTTCTTCTTTAATTCACCACTTCCATTCGCCGTGTCCACGGTTTGACCTCGCCTATTTCCCCTCGCTCCTTCCGCTACTCTCCTTCTGCTCATATCTCATCGTTTAACTCCCAGTCCCTCGATAACTCTTCCTCTCAATCATTGTCTCAAACCCCCTTTTTCCCCTTCTGCATCTCACCGCACTAATTCTTCCTCTCGGGAGCCTCTGGCCCATATTCCCTGAGCAAACCTTCTATCGTCTTTCCATCCGGGTTACTGCAAATAACAGCCTCCTTTCAACTCTCGGTAATGACAAGTCTTCCAAAAATTCTCCCTCTTCTTGATTTGACGGTATTTGAATATAAACTTATGAACCCATACCAGCTCGGGTGGTCAGCAGTAAAATGCTGCATATGCAAAATAAGGTCAGCAAAGAGGCAGTTTTGAGAAGAAGGAGGTTACTGAGGGAGGAACGCACAAGTTTTACACAACGGCAGGTCCAATTGTGGTTTTTGGTTCAGGAACCATTAGTGTTTACAGTTGGATTGGACTGGATTTATAAAATGAGGCTGTGGAGTGAAGAACCACCACAGCTACGGTTAATTCTACACACGGATTGCCAATTTAATGAGCCTCCTTTGTGTTCTGCGTGCACACAAATCCAGATGAATAATCCAACAACATTTTGGTGATAGCATTGCAAGAGTGTTCTTGAACTCTGACTGAACCTGCGAACGATGTACAAATAGAACGTAAAACAGGATGAAGTGTTACTCACCTGCAATGGACGATCATGGGCCCCGCATCTGCAGGGTTGCAGGCCTTCACCCTTCGCAGGAAGGCCAGGAACGGAGTAGGGTGCTCGGGTACGCCGTGGTCTGGCCAGGCGGTGAATTGGAAGTGACGAACCTCACGCTTCTCATTGGAGCCACTCTGGAAAACACAGGCAGCAAATAAGCATAAATATCTTGTACCAGGCTACATGGTGGGGGAATGGTTAGCACATTGCCTCAGGCTCTACTGTGTGCTCTGACTGTGGGTTTTTGCGCCAGGTACTATGGCTTCGGTGCGATTGAAAATGTAAATGGTTTTTTGTTTGTAAATAGTATGAAAAAACTCATTTCAATCTACAGCTATAATGTCGTTATTAGAAGTTAATCGTTTGATAACTCCTTCCACTCATGACGAAGCTAGCAACGAAGCGTATTACAGTATGCAACAGGGATTTAGCGTGAGAAGATGAAGATGTGTCTGTCCTCCCTGTTGGTCAAATGATGCACAGTGTCCAATGGTCGAGTGACCCATCTTTCAAAGTAGGTCAGGAGTCCCATGGTCTGCCGTTCCATTTTTAATTCACGTAGCAGCAAATAGAGCACTGGCTGATTCATACACACTTGATAGGGTGTGTATTAAGAGTAGCTGGAGGGCGTATGAGGTATTGATTCGACTACACTGATGTTGGTGGTGGTGTTCATGGTGATGAATTTAACGAGTGGCTTGGTTTGTTTGCGATGTGGACAACATTAAACATTCGGTACAACTCATGAGCCAATGTAGAGCCATAGGCCAAGATAAAAGTGGAATAAAAAAAATCTTTATACGAACGCTAAGGATGCTTAGTTTTGATTGTCATTGACAATGTGACCAAACACCCTGCAGCTGCATCTCTCCAATGTCTGATGAACGGAAAGAATGAAATCAAATAGCCGTTTCGTATTTCGCTATAGGAGAGGGGCAACTTAATTACATTTTTGATCCACGTGTTATACTAGATCATATTATCATGCACAAGTTTTCCAGAGAGTGTATATTCAGGAAAACCATGCCAATTTGCAGTCCACCATACACAAATTCCCCTGTTCACTTTTTTTTTCACCAGCGGAACACCTACTCAGCCATTCACAGTTTTTTATCGCCTAAAAATACCACAAGAGGGAGCTAAAACCCGGGATAGTAGGAAAGTAGTTAATTGGTGTCAGGCAAGTATTGAACCTCAACATCTCAATTTAGAAAGATCTTTTGGAAGTCAGGGAGAAGCTAAGTTTAGCCTGGGTTGTTAATGGGAGTTATGAATAGTCTTTTACACATGTGCATATGCACACGCAGTTCCGTTTTCATCATCGTCATACTAATTTTTTTTTAGATCACAGTCTGTGGTAAATGTATCGTTTCAACTATTAATATAGGCAATTACAAACACTTTCTATGTTTTATTTTTGCTATTTGTGGCAGGGCTCCGTCTCAATCCCCCTTAAAAAGCATTAACTGAATTCATTTACCGTGTTGATCATTAAGATCGTTTCAAAAACTGAAAAAGCCACAGTTACCTTATTCTCTGACAGAATTAGACATAAAAAGGTCCTCAGGTCGGGCGAGCGAAGTAATGAACAACACACGCATGTAGCTACTGTCACGTGGCAGCAAGCACGCATCAATACACAAGGAGCATAAATATTTGAAGGGATCAATACGCACTGTAAACCGCGTCGCGGTTGACTGCACATGTCACGTTACCTTGTAAAGCGCAAATGTCCTGACAGAGTAGGTGGCCAGCTCCACTGTGTCCAGGAGAGTGACCTGGATGAGGCCGTAGGTCTCTGTGCCTCGTGTTGGCCAGTACTGGTCGCACTTCACCTAAAAACCAAAAACAGTGAATATTGTGAGACATCAAGCGCTTGAGAAAGAAGTGCATGAGCACAGTGTGTACAAAAAAACAAAAACAATAAATAAATGAAAAGGGTTGGAAGATTAACACAGCTCAGTGAGACTTTGCAAAATTCAAACAGAAGTTTTGGACTAAAACTGTGCTTATTGAGGCAACCCAATGTGTGAAAGAGGTTTTCCGTGCGTGTGAGGAGTGATAGCTTTGTAGAATGTGTGTGATCCTGCGCTAGTAGTGTCTGATACCCTCAAACTGTGCGCTGGGAAGCTTCCATATGTCTGGCAAACGCTCACAGGGTTCCACCACAGAGCTGGAAAAGTTGAGTGAGTATCACTTGACTCGATGTGGCCCTAACGCTCCAACCTCACAAATCCCTGAAAGACGACATGGCATGCCTCGCCACCCAAAACACCTTGAAATTCCCCGCATCACACGACCGTACTTGTAGTTCTTCGGCTCAGCCTCGGAGACCACAAGAGAGGGAAGCATCCCAGCGGAGCGGGAGGGGCATACGAGAGCCTTGGCAGAATCAGGCCAAAGCAAACGCTGCTCGCTGATCCCTCTGGTCCTCACATCAGAGACGGAACGGAGCTCGGCTCGGCTCAGCTCACTCTGCATTCCGCTGCTCCAGACTGAGGATTAAGCCTTTTGGCCTGGGACATTCGGGCTGTAATTACAGCTTTAACCGCCGTGTTCCCACCAGACCTTCAGACACTATCAGGACAAGAACGGTCTTCCATAGTGTGTGGGGGGTGGTTGAAAACCACACTTAAGTATGCCAACATATATGCAGACAGCACATACTGTGTTGTGCAGGCCACCAGCAGAACTGTGCTGTTGTGTGGTTCGTTCAAAGCACAATTCTACTGTTCCCATCTGTGATCATCATTGTTGGTCAGACATAATAGCATAATGTAGATAGATGGATGTTAAAGGCGATTAAAGCATTCCCCCCCAGCAAGAACTGAAGAACGGCAGGTTTATAGTAAACACCGGAAACACGAAGGAGCCAAGCAAATAATCAGAAGACGCAAATTCATCATCTTTATGAGGCAGTGGATGCTCTTTACAGTAAATATGTCACAGGGTTCATTCTTCACCCATGCTATAAATTTGTCCTTTAAAGGCCTGGTGGTATGAAATGTAATGCTATGCACTTCACTGAACCACAGCTAGACAGGAAGCACATTTGTAGGTGTGATCATGCAAGTGTAGACACTAATGTGCACTGTTTCTGAACTTCAGTGGAAACAAGAAACCCAAGTCAGTCCTCGTTGACTGCGGGTGCCTCGTGGTGCTTTGAAAATAGTTCAACTCATCGCATTTGGCTATTGCACAGAGGGGGAAACGGTAAAAAAGAGGCACTGAAAAGAGAGGGGGTTGGGGTGGGGGGGGGTAAGGAGAAAAGCATGTGAGGAGAGGGTGCATTTGAAAAGGGATTAGCAAAGGAGAGAAAGCGAGATCTTGCCTTAGAGAAGAAATAAGAGGGCATCTGAGGGTCAAAGAGACACAACAGAGACAGTTGGAGAAGGTTGGAAAGGAAACAGCTTGGACACAATGCACAGGTTAATCATAGGAAAAGAAGCACAGATGACAGGAGAGGATCATTTGCTGCAAAACACATATGAGCATGATTTATTATTTCTTTCTTTTTTTTTTTATTTTTTTACCCCGAGCCAGTCTTGTTCATTTTTATGCTTACGCAACACCCAAAATGAACAAAAACAATGCCTTGAAGCTGAATATTTTCTAATTCATTACCCAATTTGACATGCCTGTAAACCCCGCTCCATTACTATTAGACTCTCATTCTATGTCATTCTTGAGTAAGTAACAGCATCACAAAGCGTCCCGCTACTTTTCCTTAATGGAATTTCCTTTCTACTCACAATAAAATATTCTGGCTCTTCGATCTGGTTTTAACAATCCCCAGGATCCTAACTCTCTAACCCCCCACCCCCCCTCGGTCCTCATTATGTCCCTATAAGATTACGTATATGTGGGATTGTTGCCATGGCCATTCGTAAATTTGACTGGAGGATCTGGTTCTCATTTTCAACATATAAACTTTAAAATGTTCCATGATATTTCCTTGCAAATTGCCGCCTAACGAAGGAAATAAAACCCACAAACAACTTCTATCGCTGACGCAAGCAAATGGCTTGCCAACATAGCTAGACACAAGACATCACACAATGTCCAAGTTCATGTACAAAGTTGATATGTAAGAAAAATATTTGCCAATGTAGGGCCTGATCCCAAGGAAGTTTAATTTAGACAAATGTTCCATGAGTCATAGAAATGTGTGCGTGCGTGTGCGTGTGTGTGTTTGTGTATTAGGGGTGTTACAAAAACACGATTTAAATTGGAAAATCAGTTTGGATTTAAAAAGATGCGATTTGTCTTTTATTGGCGAGATACACCGTATGTCTTTGAAGAAAATGCTCCATGGAGAGTACTGACAAGTTTGTTTAGTGTGTGTGTGAATATATGAATATATATATATATATATATATATATATATATATATTATGACAAATGTCATACAAGGGACATATGATTTCCCTGTTGTCTTGCATAATGGATTTCAGCGGCAGATATTTCCAGACACACACACACACACACACACACACACACACAGGTATGTATATGTGAAATAAGAACCTACAGGAAACTCATTGCATCTTACCCTCTCTCACATGGAACTGAATCGTGATCCCACTGAATCGAAGCGAATAGTTCCGCTTTAACCCTTTCATGCACCCAATAACATGATAAGCTGTCCACTGTAGTGACCGCTGTCCCTGAAAGGGTTAAAATCGAACTGACCTTGAATTGTATCACACCCCATGTAGCGAGGTACGTCTTTTTTTTTTAGATTTGCACACCCCAAGTACATAAGATTTTTTGGGGGGAATGAATGTGTTTTTTTTTTTTTTTTTCCAAATCAATGATTTCTATGATTGGTTTTGTTCTGGAATGTTATCAATGTAATTCCATAATCCCTACAAAATAATAGATTTGGCTGGAATTTTGCAATATTTGAAATACTGTATTGTTTTTGGGTCAATGTGGAAATGTTTTGCAACTTTTATTCCGTACGATTATTTATACTTCAGATTTGAATTGAATTGAATACAACTTTATTTGCAGATGCCATGTTAGGTGTACGTTAACACATGTGGTATAAATGACCTGAAAGGTAATTATAGCTACCATCATGTTTATTTTTTTCCCCTGGGGGTAAACGTACATGATGCACCTGCGGTATGTCAGTATGCATGATGCATACTGACTTTGAGAGCCGATACTGCCATTGGAGCAAATAATGTAGTTCAATATCAAAATGATATTTCATATAATTCCCTGTTAAATCCTTGTTTGAAAATACTGATGACTGTATTAAGTTCCAAAGCTTTGTTACTGAAGCACAGAAACATTTATTTTGACCAATCACCTGTAAAGTTTTCCTCTGCTGGTAAAATATTATCCTTTACAATATGTCATAGTTTCCCCCTTGCGGTTAATATACTTCCTGCTTTTCAATTCCATCCAACCTGTTTGCCAGATCTGGTCTGTTTTTTGCGATTCCATCTGCCATGTCTTACCCTTGACTTCTCCTCCAGCTTGGTCATCATGATAATGTTGGCCGTGTGCTGCTCCCACACCATCCTCCAGAAGTCCCCAAAGGTCTCCGGAAGGGAACCCTGAGTGGCGATGTAGGCATTTTGACGCCGGTACCCATCGATATAGTTAGCGTTGATGTAGTCACTCCCCGGGACACCTGTACATGAAGAATATATGTTAGCAAGGGTGCATGAAGACATGTGACAAACATTTTCAAGCAATTCTCTGTCCAAATAATAAACCCCATTGCTATTCTGATTTCCCGTGAATCCATCTATATAGATTATTCCCAGTCAAAAAGAATGAAAGCAGCTTTATGTCCCAATAATGAAGGATGTGGATCAACTGAGGTTGTGGCAGGAAGATTAATGTTTTCACAGGGCACAGTCCTTTGGTGTGGGATTGTTCAGTCGTCTTGTTTTATAATACATGCTAAGACGATCATGCGTCTAATCTGAGTATACTCTGATGTGTGGCTTTGAATGGCAATAGGACTGTAAGGCCGCTGGTGTGTAAGACGAGGCTGACACTGCTTGTGTCCTGGAAAGGGTTGTGTGTGTGTGTGTGTGTGTGTGTGTGTGTGTGTGTGTGTGTGTGTGTGTGTCGTGAGAGGCCATCTGTGTGTGTTTGATTTCGGATCAGTCCTGCTCATCTGGGGCCTAATACCATAATCCCCAAAATCACTGAGTCATAGCTCAAACAAACAAGCATACACAAGAGATACACACTTGAAAACACGCACACAAACGCAGTTAGCCGTGACCTGATTATGCCAAAGTGGGGCACACAAACTCCTTTTTTGCATCTTTTGATGGCAATTTACATTAACATTGACAGAATGCAGACAGGAGATAGATGAATGAAAATAAAGTCTGCACAATTTTTAATTTCTCTGTTGGCTGAATGAACAGCATTCCTCCAAAACATTTTACTGTTTACAATAGTATTTTATTGTAATTGTAACAGTTTTTCCACACAATAATTTAATTCCAAATTGTTGGGGTCCCTTTCATTGACCCTAAATTATTTGACAACGGTAGTGGGGATCTTGAGAGGGAAAAAAGTCTTGTAGTTATTTCACATGCAGAATTACCAATTAGACCCACATGACATTTGAGGCATAATGGCAGCAGATTGAGCAGTATTTGCTTCTTTTGAAACGGGGAGATCATAGCAGACAGCAGAAGTGATACTCAATGTTTAGCAAAAGACTTTAAAAGGCAGCTTAGCTAAAAGCTTTGATATGCTACAACTTTAGTGCTCGGGATGACAGCAGACGCATTGTGCAGCACGCACACACATACGCACTTGCGCACACGCACGCACACACACACACACACACACACGCACACGTACTCTTGCATGCACAGACAAACACGTACACATATTGACACAAACTTCTATGAGAGTCGCTTGGCTGCTGAAGAAGCTTCTCAGGAAGTGTGTGTGTGTGTGTGTGTGTGTGTG